TATGAAAACAATAAATTCTTCAAGGTAATTTCTTCTGGAAATAACATCTCATTGCCTAGTCATAGGGTAAACATGTCCGTCTCTTTAAAATTTCCATTTGATTAACTTATAAAGGTGTTCACTTTAATGACAAACAAGATTATGAATGGTGAGACATGATTAAGAACTTGTTTACGTGTTCAGTGTGCTGTTTTCGTATATTTATTTATTTGTTCTTTAGTAATCATTTAAATTTGCATCTTACTCTGCTTTTAATTTCTTTTTTAGTTTTAATGAATTTTATTCCAATATTTACAGTGACAGAATCACACAAATAAAATTAAAAAAGTTAGGTAGACTACTGGAAGAATCTTTTCCCTTGTCTTGATACCCATGATTCAACCCAAAACAACTTATGTTCTTGTTGACTATTTCGATTGTAACTGAAACATGGTCAAACATGTAATAATACATTACATAAAACTTACAAGTTTATTCGGTTTTAATGACCTTGGTTAATATTCACTTTTTTACTGTGTTGGAGTTTCATGGATCACTTTTTCTTTTTATGTTATTTTTGTTTATTGGCATAAAGTTGGAAATAAAAAAAATAGATAATTAGAATAACATACAGGCTATTTAAGTACCTAGTCATTATCTTGGGTTACACTCTTCCAATGTCCAAACAAACAAACAAACATGACATAATTATTTTAGTACGTCATATTACTATTTTCGAAGATGGAAAAAGAAAAGTATCTGAGTGAGTGGTAGTGTTTTATTTCAACTGATTTCAAATTCCAAAAGATATGGAGAGGAGGAGATAGAAAAATCCATGCAAAACTAAAACTAGAAAAAGTGGAAAGTCATGTGGCTTCTAAGATTAAGAGAAAGAAAGAATATATATATATATATATATATATATATATATATATATATATATATATATATATATATATATATATAAATAAAAGACATCCTTAATAATTGATTATGGATAAATTCATAATCGTGGGCGTTTTTTTTTTGTTTTTTTTTGTTTTATATTGCAATAATAATAAATAAATAAAAATAATAGTGAATAAAATTATCGATATTAAATTCAATAAAATTAATTAATTTAAATATTCATGTTTTATTGAATAATTTAGTTTGATATGTTATTATTTTAAATAATAAATTTTTATTTATTAAAAATTAAAAAAAATATTTTAGTTTAAATTTCGTTTTAATTCTAATTCTTATTTTAAAAAGATTTTTTTTGCATCAAATTAATTTTAGAAATTTGTTTAACATGTTAATTTAAACAAAAATTATTATATTCTTTTCATCAATGTAAACAATCTTACTTTTTCATCCTCTTTTCCTTTTAGCCTTCCTTTAATTCAAATAAAACATTAGGGTTATTTACCTTTGGAACATTGTGGTGTGGAATAAAACATTTTTTGATCTTAAAAAACTAGAAATGAGTAATTGGTAATAGTGAGAAGAGTTTTAAAAAATATTTTTGTGGAAACTATTTTCCCACTCATTCAAATAAGCAAGACAGTAAATGCATATGGTGAAAGAAATAAACTTAATATTCTAGTCTTTTTGTGAAAGAGTGAAGCCTGTAGTGTAAAGAAGATGAGAAAAGAGTGAAATACATGACATAAAATAGTGAGGACATTATGCGATGCACATTGCAGAAAGTAAAGTTGGTACATAAGAAGTGAACAAAAGTAAAGTTTCTTGTGGAACAACATTAACTTTATTTCGTTAGTACTGAGGTTGACTTCTATGATACTATAAAACTTGATTAAAAATCAAACACAGCAGTAACCATCACGATTTTTTTTTTCTTAAAAAACAACACCAGACAAATTGGGGAGTAAATAAGCAAATGCTGGCAATACCTTTTTTGTTTCTATTAGGTCCTGTAGCCTCTTTTGGACCACCTATATGAACTTTTTTTTCTTTTTCATTTTTGTTCTAATTCAATTTCATTCTTATAAGTTCTCAATTTCTTTTCTTTTCCATACATACTTTTTAATACTGGGACGTTTTCTCTTTCTCTCTCTCTTTTATATATAAATTTATGGTCGGGAGTACAATATCTAAGATTAATGGAACAATAGTTTACAATCTATTTAATTGTTTTGACAAAAATACATATATTTCAATATTAAGTTAGTTAATGTTTATTTTAATTATTATTTTATTAAAAATGTGAGAATCTATAAAAGTGTATTTTTATAAGAGATAATGTTTTAAAATAATGAGACTATTTTATTTTAATGATAAAATGTTTTTATATAAATTGAAAATCATAAAAGAGTTCCGTTACTTAAAAATATTTTATCTCTAAAATTTTTTTTTTAAGTTTGTCCACGTTTATGAATAGCACTACAAGTATACACCTCTACTGAATTTCAATGTTAATGTTATGTATTTGGGTAATTAAGTTTAGTGTCCATTAATTTTGTGCATATATATGATTTATTATATTTAATTCATGCTTAGCTTATATTTGATATGATTTAATTGTTTTACGATAATTCGTTTGCACTTACTTTTTTATGTGTTTTGTGTTTCTTATATTTATTTATCTATTTTTTTTTATGATGATCACTTTATCAGTGTGAACAAATGAAGATATATATTTAAAGGCACCTACAGAGAATGAGGAGCCATTAGTTAGAGTAATGAGAGGTTTTTAGAAGCATTAGTAGTAGTTAGTCTTTGTACATAACTTTGTTGGTTTAGTACAGTTGTATAAATGTCATATTTTCATAGTCCCATATTTTGTAAGACTATATTAATATCCTTTATATTATAGTTTATTTTTTTTTAAGTATCCTATTTTATTATTTTTAAGCTACTAAAATGGGATGTTACACAAAATATGTTTGACATCTAAAAATAAGCATGTTTGACACATGTGTGTCAGATACAAAAATGTTATATACACCAAAAAATACCTTAATTGTCAATTAAATTAATGGTGTTAAGATTAATATTTATTTAGTAATCATTTTTAAATTCAGTTAATAAAAGGAAAACAAAGATTATTGAGAAGGAAAATTATATATATATATATATATATATATATATACATATATATATATATATATATATATATATATATATATATATATATATATATATATATATATATAAAAGATAAATGTGTCTAATCATTAGAGAAAAATTATTAAATATTGACTAATTTTAGAGACAAAAAATAATTAGTCATTATGGTGATCAATTTACATAATAATTTATAAACTAAAAATTATTGATAATTAAAATAATTTCAAAAAATTATAACTAATAATTAAAATAGTTTCTATTATTATGAATCAGTTTCCAAATTAGTCACAAACATTAATTACTAATGTTTTGGTTACCAAATGAACTAGTCTCGAAATTGATCTTTAATTATAAAATTAATTCCTAGACATATTTTGACTTACTAAAATTGATTATTATTTATAAGTTTTCTTGTAGAATATATTTTAAATTATCAAAAATTGAATAAAATAAAAAAAACAAACAAACAAAAAAGAATTTAAACTGGGATTTTTTTGTCATATTATTTAAATGCATAACACTGTCCTAAAACTCATATCTCTATTAGTACTAATGCACAAAATTACGTAGCCGATTTTTTTATATCAATAGAGTCGACAAAAACCTTGTACAAGTTATTGCATCTTTCGATAAAAAGAAATATAATTTACATTGGTTTGAATGTATATAGAATCCATTTAGTTTTTTATACTTCTTATTATTGAATAATGCCCGTAAATTTAATGATAATTAATTAAAGATTCAGAGTAATTCAATAGGAAGTTCTATTTAAGAAATAATGCATAGATTATGTTGATAAGTTCTAACTTCATATGAATTAAAAGAAAAACTTTTTTTTTCTCTTATTCTTTAGCTATTATTTGGAATTATTTTATTTTTCCAAATTCTGCACTTTTGTGAAAGTCTACTAACCTCGATCTCGTTAACATGTGAAGTCTGATAAACAGATATTGAATTGATACAAAAGTTGAATTCACCACAGAGAGAGGAGATTGGAATGAGAAAACAAAAGTAAAGGAGTTCTGCTTCAACTTCTAACAGACTTATCTAAGTCTTCATCGAATTCCTAAAAAGCTAATTGATGCAAATAAATAGCATGTAAATGGGAATTGCTCCCTGCACCTCATCACCCATCGTTTTTCTTCCTGCACACAAATTATGTTCTATCTAACAATACTAGATGTCCCGAATAACTTCTTTAAATATTTGTAATAAATCGGTTCCTTTTTTTCAAATTTAACCCTTTTTCTCAAGTAGGGTCTCTCCAAATCTTTTCTTTGTCCTCCATTAAATAAAAACATATTTGTACACCTTGTTATGAACTATTCGCAGATTAATAAAGTATATCTATCTATTATATATTATTAGGATATGATTTTAATATCCTCTTTCATTTCAATAAATTGAAGCCTCTTTTGTCCAATATTATCGTTATAGTCAATAGTTAATGCTTGAATTAAAGTCAAGCAAAATTGTTGTAGACTTTTGGATTTATGTAAAGTAAACTATATCCTAAACAAACTTTTTTTCTCAAACATAATCTATTCCGAACCATAATTTATTTTGATCAATAAATTGAATTATTTTTTTAATAAAAAATATCCAACCAGTATAACAAATATCGCTGATTAAATATGCAACGTATTGTCTGTAAAAGCTATTTTTGAGTTCATATTAGGCAAATGATATATATATCAATCAAGGTGTAAAAGTTTATAATAAACCCACCACCTCATAACTGGTTGAAGGGTGGAGATACCTAATAAATTTTGGATTATACAACTAACAGGTAGAATGACGCTCCATTTGTTAAGTTAATGCTAAAGGTTTAACTTAATCTGCCTTATAAATCCTGAACCTTAAAAACGGTCGTTTCTTATGCTTTCCAAAAGCATATTGGTAAATTATGACTGCCCAAAATATATAGGAATTTAGAATAGAACGTAAAATTGGTTTCGGAAATATATATTTACCAAAATCAAATACTGACCCAATAAATCTTTACCAATAAAAAGTAGTAGCACTCAAAGCCGCATTTGAACAAAACCCCCTCGCCAAATGGGCCCGTGTCCCTGCCACAGCAACATATAAAATCCCTTCCAGATTTCTCACCACCACTCTATTTTTAAAACAGTAAACACTGCTGAAAAGGTCATTATGCTGCTGTTGAATCCACCAGTCCCTTCTTTACTTGGACATGGTAGCTAACTGACCCTCCCCGGCACCTCATAAACCCACAAGGGACACCAGACCAGACTGTAAGCAGACACAAGGTGCAATAACTGACCCTCCAAAGACCTTATCCCAAAAGCCACCCTGCATAAAACTTACTTCATCCCACAAGCCCCTACAAATATTGAAATCAAATAGTTTAGAAATAATGCTGAGGCTTCTTCATACAAAATTAGCCAAAATTATATATTCGATTTCGGATCTAAAATGGCATGCAAAGCATTTACCTTCTCAGGAAAAGATCTTCAGCTGAAGTTGAATCCACCAGACGGGACTGGGAGCTCATTTCCAAAACCAAAACCAGGTTGAGCACCGTCTCCTGGAGGTAGGGTCTCGTCCTCATCTTCCAACCAGTATGTTTCAAGAAGTTTAACGGCCTTTTCATAGATTTCGTTGTTGTCATGACTCTGCAGGTTTTCAATCTTCTCCAATCCCTCAGCATCATCTATCATCTGTGCATACAAGTTGACATCTCCAGTGTTGCCAAGGCTCTTCTCGGCTTCTCCCACCTTCAGAATATTCTCTAGGCCTTCTAAACAGACAGTGACAATTCTTGGGTCCGGACAAACAAGAAGATCACAAAGAGGCTTTATACAACCCTGACCAACCAAGTACCTTGAAAACACCATAAAATTAAGTGAATACCATCATAAAGTCCTAAAGAGTGTGAATTATAACCAATCAATGGAAAATACATACTTAATCTGGTCATGAGTTCCACCAGATGTAGCATTTGAGATTGCCCAGGCAGCTTCCTTTTTAATGTCAAACTCAGCATTTTGAAGAAGATTGACAAGGGGGGCAACCAGACCAGCTTCAATAACAGCCTACAAGTTTTTTCAACAAACAGAATGTGTAAATCCTGTGCTTTGCAATAATAGTGTATGAATAAGCTTGTCAATTCATGATTCAAATCATGAATTGGGAGGCTTATCATCTTATTGGTGAATTCTAAGATTCATGACAAATAATTAAGATTCACATATATAGTTAACAAAGTCATAAAAAACACTCATTGCTCATGATCATGATCAATAACAATAAACTTAAAACAGAGAACATTTTAACACGAAGGAACATATCAAAATATCAATACGTAAACAAGTTATATCGATCTCTTCTTTCACCAAATAATAGAACAGCAAAGAGCACAAGTATAAAGATAGCCTCATCTAAGAGGAGAGACGAGTATAAAAAAACAAGCACTGAAGCAGGGGACCACTGACCAGCAGGACCTCTCCAATAATGAATGCAACCAGCAATATAATAGAAGACAGGAACTGTACAATTTCGAAGAGACAGAATGGAGAAAAATGCAGGGTCTCTTTCTAAAATAATTTGTGTTGGTCATACTATATGGTTCAGATTGTTTAATTCACCCCACTTTGCCTCACATTTTATAAGAAAGAAAATGAACAAGGCATTTTCCGAACCAGGTTATGCAAAATCTGATCCAATTACATGTGCATGCAATCCGACCACGAACTGAATTGTGTGATGCAGAAATTTATAGCGATTCAGGAACATTCCGGCAATTCCGAACCCAAAATGATTCAACTACCTATCATTATCATTGAAATCGAGAATCATATCACCTCACAATTCTCGCAATTTTGACAGCACAAACACGTACACACTAAACCCTGCTTTCAGCAGGTCAACAAAGCTCAAAGCCAAACATTGTAATATTTACTAGACACCACTTTTTCCCTTGGGAAAGGGGGGACACTATATCAAGCATCATTCTCTCTTGGCATATCCAAGGAGAAACTAAACCTTGGTTATAACTCCACCATATCTCCACCTTAACTGCTTATTGTTCATAATGACAAAAGCATAAACAAATCATCAAGAACAAGCTATAATCAAATGTTCTCAATGAAATAATTCAATTTAACATGTACACAAATTCGAGACAACAAAATCATCAAAAATAAAACTTAAAAGACAGTGACAATTGGGCATTGCCAGCTTACCTGTATCTGTTCCTTATTTCCAGCAGTAATGTTTGATATAGTCCAGCAAGCTTCTTTCTTGATGCTTTTTTTATGATTATGACTCAACAGGCTCAAAAGGCAAGGGAGCGCACCATGATTGATAATAGACTAATGGAACAAAAACAACATCCACCAGAATTAGGAGATTCTTTGAAGAACAATATACATGCACAAAACAGAAGATAATAGCAGAAAGTACACACAGAAGAATTCCTGCTATAGAGGTGACGACTATTGTACTACCTCTTCTGCTCCTTTCAAAAGTATCAAGAGAATGACTACAAATGATGACAAGTCATTACCTGAGTTTGCATGTCATCTCCAGTCACAATATTTCCGACAGTACGAAGGGCAGGAATCAGAACCGAGGGAGATTGGTTCCTGAAAAGCATATATACAAAGTTAAGGCACAACCGACACAATAATCCATTTAACAGGTATAGTAGAAGTAGTACTCACAAGAGCAGCTGCACCAATCTGGGACATACACCTGCTTCAATAACTGCTTGAATCTTGTCATTTGTGCCATCAGAAAGATATGATAATGCCCAGCAAGCATCTGTCAAGACTTCTTCATCATTGGAGAAGATCAAGCGCTCAAGTGCTGGAAGCGCTGGTCTCACCTGTCCATCAAATAGCAGTAAGAATAAGCTAAAAGACACTATCTCAAGAGCTGAATGAACCGATAAAGTGATAAAAGGACATTACCTGCTCAAATGGAGGCTGTGGCTTACCCCTACAAAAGTTAGATAATGTCCATGTGGCATTTCTTAGCATTGAGAGTTTTGCATGTTCATTCAACTGAGCCAATAGTGGGACGAGGGCGCCATGGCTGAGCACTAGATCTCGACACCTAGGGGAGTCACCAGCAACATTTCCCAAAGCCCACACTGCCTAGAATTTCCAGGGAATTAGTGTTTCAGTACAATTAAAAGGCAAGATGCATGTGCTGCCCCACTCGCATTCAAACACTTACCTGCTCCCGAACATCATCGCTAGGCGAACTAAGCAGCTTGACAAATATGGGAACTGCCCCATGATCAATGACCACCTTAGTATTCTCAGAAGTCCCAGATGCAATGTTTGTAAGCGCCCACGCAGCCTCAAACTAAACAAAAAAACAATTAACATAAACAACTAACAAATTTCAACCACATAAGAATTAAGATGCACAGCAAAAAGGTCCTCGAACCTGAAGTTGAGGGAAATCCTCCCTGACAAGAAACTCAACAAAACGCGGAACAACACCAGATTGAATAACTTCCTCAATCGGAGGGCTCCGCTCTATAGCAAAAAACAATAACCAAGTATCAACACATAGAATCCAAACTATATATGCTTCCAGGCTATCAACAACTAGAATTTAGAAGCACAATATTGACAAAACAGGAGTTACCAATTGAAAGAAGCTTGCGAAATTGCGTGGTGGCTTCAAGTTGAAGAGTATTATCATCCGACCAAACTCCAGCAACCATCGCAGGAAGACTCTCTAACTGCACAAATAAATAACCATAAAAATTGGTTCTATAACTAACTATCATTGCAGTATCGAACCAGGCGATTAAACCCTAATTCGCACAAAAGCAATAAACAGAAAGCAAAAGAATACAAAAGAGTGACTATGCACCTTCTTGTCGACAGTGGAAGCCTGAACAGGAGTGGCAAACTGTTGCTGAGCTTGGAGACCTTCGCGACGCTTCTTCTGCAAGCTCTCCTCGCGCTTGCTCTTTCGGATCTCGACCATGTTATCCTCTCTTCGCCGACGACCCTCATCAGCATCAACTGCAACCTTGTAACGGTTGCGGCGAACCTCGGTTCTGGCATTTGGCCTTAGAGACATGGTTTTGGCGGAAATCGGATGTGTGAATAACAGGGAAGAAGAATTTGAAAAACCCTAGCTAGATACTTGATACTACGGATTGGATTGGACAGTTAGGTTTATGTAATGTGAGGGTTTGGATCTTGGATCTAAACCTTCGCCCTCAATGCGGGTTATGGATCCAAGCAATGGGTCCTCAATTATAAATCATACCACAATCATAATCCGACCTAATGTTTTAAAATTTCAACGGTCATTTCATCCCACCATTTAATTATTCATTAATCATTTACATTTTAACTTTCCATCTGATTAAATTATTATAAATAATAAGATAAGGAAATTCTCTATTAATGTTAAAAATACTAATAGTTTTTAAGCTATGAATAATGGTATGAAAAATTTATTGGTTTTAATAATAATAAATCTTATCCATGACTCTTTCTAATTTATTAAAGGTGTAACTTGACATAAATATTTCATAGGGTGATTTTTATTAACTTCCAGGAATTGTGAAATAAAAATAAACCATAAAAAAAATAAACTTATTTTATTTTATTTTATTTTGTCTGACATTCAAATGCAGTAGTATTAATATTTTCATTAATAATTTTTTAGCAAATTAATTCCTCACATATACATTTGTGTGCAGCATCACTTCAATTTTCTATCAAAGCAAATTAAAAAATGTGTTTCCTAACTTATGATTTATTTGATTGAAATGTATCTTATTCATAGCACTTTTATTTTATAGGTTTAATTATATTAAAACATACAAAATTCAAATAAATATTTTATTTAATTTAAAAATATGAAAAAATATATTTAAATTTGATATTATACCTCTCTCTATTTCCATAAACTATATTATCATCTATTCACGCATCAAGATATAATAGAAGGTAAATTAATTATATATCTATATCAAAATCATAATAAAAAATATAGGATAAACTAATTATTCAACTAAATATAAAATCACATCACAATCAACCTATCAATTGTTATACCAGAAGTTTACTTAAAGTCACACAAATAATTTAAATTTTTTCTTTTGAAATATTAGTAGTTATTTTATTAAACTCGAAGTTATTCTTCTTTCTACATATTCAAATTTAAATTTGATATGTGTAATTTAAATCTAGATATTTATACATAGCAGATTAACTAAACAAAAATAATCTTATTCTAAAAAAAAAAAAAAAAACAAATCACACCTAAAGAATTGGGCAACTTATAAAAAAAACATCCAAAACTATCAAAACACATATTAACACTTAAATTAACTAAAGTATCACCCTTCTCATCTTACAAAAACTCATTAAATCTAAAAAAAAAAAGAAGATAGAAAATGCAATATAAATATATTTATAAAATTTTAAAGGACTTACTCTAAAAAAACTGATTAATTCGATTTGTAATTCGTTCAACCATTGTTTACATGCTTAAAATTAAAAATAAATAAATAAATAAACTTATTTTAGTGAGCTACCTAAAACAATCTTTTAAATTTATACCGTATATTTTTTTATTTTATTTCCATCATACTTCTAAAAGAAACTTTGTCACTTATCCATAATTTAATATTACGTTTTTTATTTTAAGGATATCGTGGTAAAAAAAGTCAAATAATTTAAATTATATACAAAATTAAATTATTTCTATAGCATCTCAAGTTAATATGTTAACTTAGGGTTCAATTTTTTATATATATATATATATATATATATATATATATATATATATGTGTGTGTGTGTATGCATGGAATTAAAATTGGACCAAAATTACTGATTATAAAAAATACGCATGCTAAAATTGTAAAAAAGTAAACAAAATAAATAAAAATCGAGGATAGAAAAGAAATTTAAATTTAAATTTACTGAATATTGTCTTTTTTAACTCCTAGTGAACATGTCTTTTATTTAATTTTAAATACATCGTATTTATATGAAGGTATTGTCTTGGTGTAAAAAGTTTAAATTATCAATATAGCTGCATATTAAGTTTTAAAAAATTTTCTGTTATAGAAAAAATAAAAATCAAAGAAGAAATATATAACAGCACACTAAAATAATTTTTTTAAAATTAGTCAATTCTTTTTAGTCTGTATATAACATTTTTCTAGTTTTATTCTGTTGCTGAACATTTTTCATCTTGATAGTCTAATTTGGGTGAAAAACTTGTTGAATTTGCAATTTCCAAATTCAAACCTTTCAATCATGTAAGTTAACTTGTAATCAAACTGGTTTGCTGCGGTGTACACATACCCTATTGGGCCTCATCATATTTTAGCTATTTTTTTTTGGTATTTTCTCCAGTGTGTTGTTTCAGCAATTTTTCTTGAGAAATGTTATTTGACATATACAATTTTTTTTTATTTTAATATTGTTCTTTTCTATTTTTGAAAAAATATAAATTTTACTTTTTTATAATTATTTTATATATGTCATATTAATGTAATTGTGTGTATGTTACTTTAAATAAAAAGTTGTTTATTGTCTCAACTTCCTAAACAAAAACACTCTCTTTATAAATTAGTTCTCATCCATAGCGTAAGTTGGTTCAAAGAAAAATTAAGAAAAAATCACCAAACAAGATTTGAAACATAAAATCGTGTCAAACCCAAAATTATACTTTCCCTGAAATTTACACAAAGGTGTAGCTTTTATCTAAAGGAGATGGAAATACAGATAATGGGATCTCTCTAACTGTGGGGTTCTCCATAGTAAAACTCGTGATCTGTGATCGAGATGCTCTTGGTGGAGAAGCATGAAGAGCAGATGTCAGAAGTACCTCTCTTCGAACATTTTCTTGCTCCTGTGATATTCTCAGTGCACGTAGTGCCGTTAGGTATAAAGCACAACCTAGGAAAACCGAGGTTAAAGCAAACACCCCTGCCCCACAGAACAAACCTCCTCTAACACTAAGGCAACTGGGTTTAGCTTTCCACCAATTCTTCAGATGCCCTGACTCTACACTCACTCCTGCCAACAACAGAATCTCTCCAACTGCAAAACAAATCCTACACCACATTGCCAAATCAATATTCATATTTTGTCTCAATCTAAATATCTTTCATTTGATCTGAAAAAACTGATAATAAGGAACCATTTGTCATGCAATAGGTAGAAAAATAATAACTTTTTCCTTACCAAGTTGTAATAAAGAAGAACCCAGCTAGCCACGTTAATGATTTGGTTGAAGCAGAATCAGGATCCAATGTGAGTAATGCAGGAGATGAATTACTAACTGCTATCAACATAAAAGTGTGCTCCACCAATATGGCCATTGCTAGTCCAATGAAAGCACAAGAAGCGCATAACAATGGCCTTTTCCCACTGCCACTGTAAACACATTCTGATTTACTTCCCTTTCCATTTACATCTCTGCTCATCCATATCACCTGCCATATCAACACCAAATTATAAACAATGCTCATTTTTTTTTATTGTCTTTGAACTAGCAAACAGATACGTAATTTTCAAACAATATTACCCCAACCAGTACCTTTGAACGTGTGGCTTCTGCTATGAGACACAGAACGAAGCAGAATAGGCCCAATAGGATTGTGAGAGCCATGAGAAAGGCACCTGTTTTGCTACTCAAATCTGTTTTTCTTCTCTTTGGTTCAAGGTCAGCATGTGTGACTGCCATTATTGTTTGGGTCAAGGAGAAACACAATTCACACAACATGATTTTATGTTTGGAGTTAAGTTTTATGTTATGCAGGAAATGTTTGAATGGAATAAAAACAGAATTGCTTGGAACAAAGGTTACTTAAAGGCCAGAGATTCCCACTTTGTAGGATTTGATACCATGGCATTCACACAAGGTACATTGCATAATTAATTATAAGCACTAAGGCCTTGTTCACTTGAGTGGATTTGAGGGAGAGTAATTGAGGGGATTTGAGAGAATTTGAAAATAAATTTTTTTGTTGATTATTTGAATGAATTTGGAGGTAAATGAGATTGGATTTGGAAGTAAATTTTTTTAATATGTCACATCAATCAAATCCTACACGAATTCTCACAGTCTTTACTTTCAAATTCATTCTCACTTACGTTCAAATTGACTCAAATAAACAACAAAAAAATTTATTTTCAAATCCTCTCAAATCCCCTTAATTACTCTTCCTCAAATCCACTCAAGTGAACAAGGCCTAAAAGAATACTGTTTGATGAGGATCAAGCCTGTGCTCATGAATACACTAGAATCTTTACTCTCCCAAAGTATACAATTAGCCTTTCGGTTAATTCAGAGTTCGTAAATGTTTACAAAAGCGAGAGAACATTTATGCATGCATTGCCCTTAAAAGGTATTGTCAGGTACTAAGTAGGAACAGTGGTAAATCATTTTCTGACACTGCTTCTACGAGTTTTATTTGCAACCCTGGCATAAAAGTACAGTTGTTTCTCTTGTCATCTAATGATACCATTGAATGTAGTCACTGGAACAGCGTCTTATATTGTGGAAATAAAGATTAAAAGCAGTGATAATCGAACACTCTTGATCAATTTTCTCTTATCTCTTCTTACTGCCGTGTTATATACATGCGTTTTTCTGTTTATCTATTGATCACTAGAAGTTGAATAGTATACAAGGTGTCCAAATATGATTTTTATGAGATTAATGTGTATTTGACTCTCTGCAAACCCCTTGATAGTGAGAATTAGTCACCCTTTTATCTTCTAGAGAGGAAAATGAGAAGTAAAAAGAAAACTGAGTGCTAAATTAGAAAGTGTTTGATGAAGAAATCTTTCTGGAAAGAAGAGGAGTAAGAACCATAACTGAGTAGTTAGGACTTTCTGGAAAGTTTAATGTTTCTTTCTGCACATGTTGGTTAAAATTAGAAAGTTGAATGATTCTTTGTTTTGGATTTGGGATAAAGAAATATGATGGACAGCCTATTATTCTTTTCTAGATATTTATATTCTTTGTGGAAGGCTTAAAGTGCAGGCATAAGTACAAAATTTGAAGAAGGAATTTTAGGATGTGGAATAAAACATATTTGAATGAGTTTTTTTAATAACTTTATATATATAAAAAAATGCTAAAAGGGAGTAAATTGATAAATGAATTTATGAAGTGGGTTGGAGTGATGCTTTAAGGATAATACAGGTGTGTGTTTGTTGTAAAAAAAAAAATCCTGATTAAAAAAATGTTTTCAAAAATTGTACGAAATTTAAGTATTTTA